ATGCCTTCCGTTTATCACAACATGATCAATTTGATTTCTCGTTACTTGATCAGGAGAAATCCAGGTGACCTTGTGTGTATCGAGATGCTTGAATCTGGTGCTGCTAACTACCATGTTTTGTGCTGCCGCGAAGTCAATCAACCTCATGCCGTTGTCGGATGTTTCTTCATGAAGGCTGAATTTTCCGACGGTGGGGCCAAAGATATTTTCCCTTCCGATTTTTCCATTAAAATCTCCTAGCAGAATTTTAATGTCATGGCCAGGGTAACGGTCATATGCTGTTTCTAGGCGCTCGTAAAATATGTCTTTGGTCTGTTCATCTTTTTCTTCGGTCGGAGCATGGGCGCAAATTAGACTGATGTAAAAGAACTTCGCTTTTATACGGATTATAGCAATTCGCTCATCTACTGGAGTGAATCTGGAGACAAGGTATTTTATTCTCCTGTTAACCATAAATCCGCAGCAAATTCATGTCTCGTTTCATGGCAGCTATAATACAGGGCTGATTTACTTACGCCTGTCCCTTTCCATCGCATTTCCTGTAAGGCAATAATATCGGCTTTGTACTTCTTGAGTATATCCGCCAAAGCGAACACTGCCCCTGTTCTGTGCAACGTGCGCACATTCCAAGTGCAGATTCGCAGATCGTGGTCCTTTATACGTTTGCGGGGGTCGTCAACATTAGGGGGGTTTGGTTTTCTTTTTCTTTGCTTTTTCATAGTAGGTTGGGTTTTCCGAGAGTGGGCAACTAACCCGACGCCTCAACCCATTTTTTTATAGTTCTTATGGGTGAACTCGCGGCACATGTTATCTCACTATTTCATCGGGTGATGAGAATAGCTCCCCAGGTGGCACCGGAGGTCAGTGTCCACAATTGAGATAAAAGAGGGACCAAGATAAGCCTGGGCTTCGCCATGTTAAAGCCAATCAGAGCCGTTGCTTGGTATCTATCATCCCCTACGCCACCATTGTATATATATGCAAATTTACAAGTCTTCAATATAAAGCACGTTCATTTGCCAGCCTTAAGGAAGCTTTTTTTCACATGTTTTTTTTTCTATTTTCACATAAATAGTTTTAAAACCAGTAAGCGGAGCAGTATAGTCAGGCGGAGCCGACCATGATGATACCTTATACAATTATCACTGAACTCTAACTTTCTGCGGATCTGTATTCCGAGCATGAGTAATATTTCGGAATATTTGACAAAAATAAAGTTTTCGTCCACTTCATTCCGCTAAGTATCATCTGATCATCACCGAAAATTATAGACCTTGTCCTGGACCATTTCCGGAACTACATGTACAATTATATATGTTTTAGGATGAAAATTTGCGATTTTTCACACACAAGTCTTGGTCCATTTGGCCGGTTAGACATTGACTGATCGCCATTAAAGCAATAATGATTATTCGTTAGCCAGAACCCTTTCTCCGTACCCAAAAATATTAACCGATAATACCAATACCGAACGAAATTCAGTACAATATAAACTTACTATTACAACATACTTTTGGTTACAAATGCATTGGAAAAGGATATCCTTTTCTGTGACAAACTTCCTTGAAGTAGTAGGAAAGTATGTGTAAAAGTTATCGCACAAATATTGTGAGCTTTATTGCGAAAGTCAACAGTATTATACCCTATATGTTTATAGCATACATACACAAAATATGTACACCTTTGAAATTTATAAAGAAAAAATCGAAAGGGGAAAAGCAAAACTTCGATTAATAGAAGAAATTCAATTATCATAAGATTATTCCAGGCTCTGGAACGGAGCAATGATAGATCTATACATACATTTGTGTAAAAATTGAGAATAACTTTCTAAAGCTCCTTTTACATTAGTCGTTTATTTTGGGATATTTAAAGGTTTGGGTTTGATTTGTTTCAATAATGTTGTTTAGTGGTATTGATTTTGTTTGTGTGTTTCGGTTTGTATAACGGAATATGTTTTGTAAACTTTTCTAGAAAACCAAATCAGAACCTAAAGTGGACTTAAACCACTTTCAAAATAAAACGACTCATATGTTTTCCTATGATGGACCCATTGGCCCACTCCTTCTGGTACATCCATCAGAAAGTACCAAAGTTTTCAAAATGTTCAAATACAATATCAAGCGAACAGAATATTCATAATACTTTTACCAGTCCTAAACCAAATCAAATACCAAAGTGGGAATCATCGGTCCTCTCCTTTTCCTACTTCCTCGATATGGGTCAACATGTTAAAACATTAATAATCTTATAGAGCGAATAGAGTATTCGATTAGGATAAGAAATCAGGAATGAGAAAATTATTTCAAACCAGTGAGCGGAGCAGTATTGTCGGACGGGGCCGACCATACGATACCCTACACAACTACCACGGAACTCAAATTTTCTGCGGATGTTTATGTATAAGCTAAATGTATAAGATAAATGTATGTATAAGTAAATGTATAAGCTATAGAATACACATTTTGTCATTTTTCACAAAAAGTCAGGATCCATTTGATCCGCTAAATATTGACCAATTTTTATCAATACAGACATGCTTATTCTTTGGCCCAATCCCTTTCTCCATGTAAAAATTCGCGATGTTTGGGCCATAATTATGGCCTCTGGAGTCACCAGAAAATAACACAAAAATTGAGTTTCTGGTCCATTTCATCCCCTAAATATTAACCGATCTTTACCAAAAACAATAGGGGTCTTCATTGGGCCGAACCCATCCTACATGCAAAATTTCGTGAAGATTGGTCGATTAATATGACCTTTATCGTGTTTACAAATTATAATGGACAGACGGACGGACACACATATTTAGATCGCCTCAGCTAGTCGAGATATGACGATCGGTATACTTAAAGGTGGGTCTATGACCAATATTTCGCGGCGTTACAAACTCTTGGGGCTGCACAAAGCTATAATGCCCAGACAACATAGTTGTGTAGGGTATAAAAATCGAAAGAGGAAAAGAAAAACTTCGATTAATAGAAGAAATTCGATTATCATAGGATTATTCCAGGCTCATTTGAGTAAAATTGAGAATAACTTTCTAAAGCTCCTTTTATATTAGTCGTTTATTTTGGCATATTTAATGGTTAGGTTTTGATTTGTTTCAGTAATGTGGTTTAGTGGTATTAATTTTGTTTGTGTGTTTCGGTTTGTATAACAGAATATGTTTTGCAAAACTTTCTAGAAAACCAAATCAGAACCTAAAATGGACTTAAACCACTTTCAAAATAAAACGACTCATATATTTTCCTATGATGGACCCATTGGCCCACTCCTTCCGGTACATCCATCAGAAAGTACCAAAATTTTGAAAATGTTGAAATACAATATCAAGCGAACAGAATATTCATAATACTTTTACCAGTCCTAAATCAAATCAAATACCAATGTGGGAACCATCGGTCCTCTCCTTTTCTTACTTCCTCGATATGGGTCAACATGTTAAAACTTTAAAAATCGTATAGAGCGATTAGGATAAGTGATCAGTATTCAGAAAATTATTTCAAAAAATTTAGACGAATGAATCGTTGATCATCCATAAATAATCATGGAAACTTTGGTACACGGCTAAAATTCTCTTAAAGAAATCTTAATACATAGTAATTTGTGGCAGAGTTTAAGTCCATAATTTAGATATTTTCCTAAAATTGGAAATTTTTAAGGCCACAAGAATATTTCGTTCTTTCAGACTGATCATGCATGCTAATTACTTACATCAAATCGAACTGAATTATATATGTGGCCTGGCTGTGTAATGGGTTTGGGTTAGGATATGTATTTGAAAATGCATTAGTTTGCTATAAAATCGTTATTTTATATTTTAATAAATCCTATAAGAGATGTTCTTGAGTATCTTTTAGATTTCAAGTACAAATTATTTTCGAATATATAACCGATGTTCTCCAATATTAACGATGTTTTCCTTTAAAATTCTTGAAATCCAGAAATATTGTTTTAACCTCCACACTAAATAATTCAATATCGTATAACCTCAAAACATCTAATATTATTTATTAATAATAATTATCTGAAGTTATTGCAAGAAAAAAGATTTCTAACGATATTCGGAAATAAAAAAAATAACGAATTTAAAGTATGGGAAATATAACCAACTACAAACGAAATAAAATTGAAATAAAACAAAAAAATAATTTCGGTGATGGATTTGTGTGTACGGTTGACTGTTTCGGGTAACTGTTTTATTATTTTGAATTACCGCTCAAATGGCAACTTACATGGTGTCCCGGTGCATGTTGACAAAACTACATCAAATATTATATAAGACAGACAACAAGAAATATTAAATTGATTTATTTTTTGGTTTTTTTTTGTTGTTTTAGTATTTTTATTTTATTAAACAAAAAAGTGGTGTTAGTAATTAAATATTTTAATTTTATATTTATTTTGAAGAATAATTTCATTTAGTTTTCATTTTTAATATTAAAGCAACAAAAAATGTGGTTAAATAACAATTGTTGACATAAAAAAACAGAACATTGAAAATATGTAGATTATTAAGCCACAATTAATGAGTATACGACAATTGTATAATATGGGATATAATTTCAACACGAAAAAAACTTTCTTTTAAAAAACCACTTCAATATCAGTGATATTCGAGGAGACAATATGAATTTAAAATTCAAATTTCTTATTGTGATAGTTCCACAGTAAATATACAAATTCACTAGGTTGAAAATCCATTTCAGAGTTCACTTTGTAATTAGTCACACATACAATTGTCTTATACTCACTCATGTAATAATTGAAAACAACGTAAAAGTTTTAATTTTTTTTTTTATATTTTATTATTAAACATAAACAGCCGTATTTACAGCACATTTTTATTTAATCAAATTGTGTGGTTCCTGTTAAAGTCAATATTTTATGTATGTACAATAACAATTAGCTTAAATCACAATTAATTTTCTTTTTTCGATTTTTTCATTCATTTGTTGACAACAAAAAATAATTAAAAATGTAAAAAATATACTCACCATACAACTGGCTTCGTGTAACTTTCCTAGTTTTGGCCTTATAAACGGGGCAATTTGTTGCCATAGGAAAGTTTGTACCGATACCGGTAACCCCAAGTCCTGTAAACCATCATCCTGATCGATATCGAATTCGTCATTGTTGTTTGAATGATTGTTGTTATTTGTTGTTGATGTATTGGTGACCATTTTGGTGTAGTTGTTTAGATAATTTCTTTAGAAATTCCTATTCGCGTCTTTATTTTTGTTTAATATTTGTCATATGAAGTTACATGATTTTAATTAAATATCTGTAAAGAGAATATTTCTTTCGTTGATATATTTATTTTCACTATAGGCTGCAAGACTGAAAATTGTCGTTTCTAATTTGCTTTTATTCTACAAATGTGTATACATACAAGTTCTGATTAAAACAATGTAATTTTATTTTTTTAATTACTTTGTTTACAGCGGTTGTTTACGTGCTCGTGTAAGTAGGACGAGCATTGGCATTGTCTCGTTCTTCTGTTAACCGGAACACAATTGAACTTGTGTCCTGCTCAAAGTTGGCTCTCCACCACATGATGTAGTCAACATTTCGTATAGACTATAGCATTACACAAAATTTAATACAGTTTCTTATATCATTTTTTGTTTCAAATAGAAAAAATTTAAAGCACATCAAAATACGACTAAGAGCACATTTACAACAACAGAAAATTCGGGATTTAGGGCTGTTGCGTCATTTATTTTCTAAAATCATGGACCTATACTGACATTTCTACAAACAGATTATGTAAACCACAACGTACACTAAGTACATTTTGGTGTAAGCTGCTGTTTCAATATGAAAATTGGTATTGCAGAAAAAAGTGTATGAGTACGTCGCTGGCGGCTATACCATAAATATTAAAAATACAGAAAATCTGTAAGTATCGTTATGGGGGCTCTATTTAGAACAAAAATGTTTGCGTCAGAATACATTTCTATACGCTAAATATTAAAAATAACGAACATCTGTAGATATCATTATACGGGGCTAGGCTTAAATGCGGGCTAAAGTTTATATAAAGTTCATTATCGAACATTAAGTTCTAGTTTTTTTCTTGTCTCGTTAGAACAAAACCCAAAACGCGGAACAAATCAGATATAAATAATAATATAAACAAGTGGAAAAGCATTAAGTTCGGCCGGTCCGAACTTTGGATACCCTCCACTATAGATATACTGACAGGTACTTGAAATGAAAATATAGGGAACATTCCAAATAGTGGCCATATACCGAGAATTCTACAAACCGTAAACCATTATTTACACCAAATACAAACTTCAAAAAATTTTAATGGGAATGTTTCCCAAAATCTGTAAGATCCAAAAAGTGGACTGATACTGATAACGCATGGTAGAGTAGAAAATCCTCAAACTACTGCAATTTAGATTATATAGTTATATGAGAGTATGCCTAAAGGGGGACCAATATTGATTACATAGTATAGGAAATAGTGAATATTTGGGGATATCATTGTATGAGGGCTATGCCTAATTAGTGACCGGTATATGCCAATTTTGAACCCAATATTTTAACTGTTTATCTCAATTCTTTCATTCAGGAAGTATCACTATATTGAGGAGATACCTAAATGTCTGCCGATAAAACCCCCCAAAATACTGAAAATTAGGAGGTACTGTTATATGGGGGCTACCAGAAAAATTGGACCTAAATTTATAATACTTTGTAGAGACATTTACTACCCAATAAGAACTCAATGTACCAAATTTTAGCGTATTCGGTTGAAAAACGCCATCAAGAACCCCAAAATACCGAAAATTGGGAGGTACTGTTATATGGGAGCTATGCCTTAACGTGGACCGATATATCCCATCTTCGAACTTGACTGCCTGCAGACAACAGACAAACGTATTCAAAATTTCAGCACCCTATCTTAATTCCTTCAGAAGATAGCGTGATTACAACAGATGGACGGACATGGCTAGATCGTCTCAGAATTTTGCCCTGATCAAGAATATGTAAATGAACATTTCGATGAGTTACAAACGGAATGACAAAATTAATATACCCTCCATACTATGGTTATCTGACCTAGCCCTTGTGTGGAGGTGCCAGAAGAAGTGGACCGATAGCCCCCATTCTTTTAAAATTCCATAACAATTTTTTTGAATTTTTTTTTGCGAGCACATTTATGATTTTTGTTGCGTAGGTTAAGAAAAATATGCTGATTTGAAATATGTTCGCGTTCACAAATTCGGATGCTGCGCACAAAAGTTATAGCGGTTTTAATCTTCTATTTCAAATATAAATTAAATGAATTTCTATTTGTTGTAATTCGGATAGCCCCCATATAAGGGTACTCCCAATTTTCGGTATTTTAGGGTTCTTGAGCGCGTATTTATATATTATATTAAATAGTTATCTGTTCCGCGTTTTAAGTTTGGTTCTAAGACTCTGCTGTAATCATTCATCTGCGGAGGATAGGGAGATAAAAAATTAGAACGTAAGGTTCGATAATGAACTATATCTGCATTTAGACCTAGCCCTTGTGTGGAGGTTCCAGAAGGAGTCGACCGATATTCCCCATCATCGAATTTGAACTAAGTTTGGAAGAAATAATAAGATGGGCAAAGTTTGGTCCAAAGAAAAATGGGGTCTAGAACCAACATTTCGATGACGCACATTTTCACCGTTTTAAAGTGTTTACACCCTCATTAGCCATATGGCTGAGTGTATAATTATCCATTAAAAATTTCTGAAGGTCTGTTAGGATTCATCTGTTGAATAAACCCAAAGTAGTGAAGGGTATCATATAGTCGGCCCCGTCCGACTTTACTACTTTCCTTGCTGGATTATATTAACATAGTTAACTGATTTGTTCCGGTTTTTGGAGTCACCTCAATATACCCGTATTCCACCATAGTAATACACAATTTTCCGTTTATACCCTACATAGTATGGACTTGTAAGATGATTTACTCGATTCATCCATCTGTTATAATTATTCGTCCTTTGTTCTAGAATGACTATATCCGCCCGCTTTTGGGAATTGTCCCTATATAAAACCAATCGGCTAAAATTTGGGCCTTTGGTGCACTATTTACCTAAAATTGGACGCAACTATACTTTTCGTACCGTTAAAGTTCATATTTCCAAGACCCACGCATACACACCAACAACAAATTACACTCATAATTTTAATATATTACGATGTGGGAAAAATGCATTTCACTCGAGCAATGTTCGCTGAGAATCACATCGAACCGTTCCAATTCGCAGTTGAACCATTTAGGAGTAGTGTGTAAATTAATTAGGTCTTAATTCGGATTAGGCATTAATCGGGGGTCAGTGACCCTTAATCGGGGGTCAATGACCATTAATCCGGATTAAGGCTTAATCCGGGGTCAATGACCCTTGATTCGGTTTTAATGACCCTTAATCCGGATTAAGCCTTAATCCGGGTTCAATGACCCTTAATCCGGATGAAGCATCAATCCGGGATAAATGACTCTTAATCCGGATTAAACTTTAATCCGGGGTCAATGGCCCTTAATCCGGATTAAGCCTTAATCCGGGTTCCATGACCCTTGATCCGGATTAAGCCTTAATCCGGGTTCCATGACAGTTAATCCGGATTAAGCCTTAATCCGGGTTCCATGACAGTTAATCCGGATTAAGCCTTAATCCGGATTAAGCCTAAATCCGGGATAAATGGCTCTGAATCCGGATTAAACCTTAATCCGGGGTCAATGACCCTTAATCCATATTAAGCCTTAATAAGGGTTCAAAAACACTTAGTCCAGGGTCAATGGCCTTTAATCCGGACTAAATATTAATCCGGGGTCAGTGACCCTAATCCGGGGCCTTAATTCGGATTACGCATTAATCGGGAGTCAGTGACCCTTAATCCGGGGTCAATGACCATTAATCCGGATTAAGGCTTAATCCGGGGTCAATGGCCCTTAATCCGGATTAAGACTTAATCCGGGTTCAATGACCCTTAATCCGGATTAAGCCTTAATCCGGGATAAATGACTATTAATCCGGATTAAACCTTAATCCGGGTTCAATGACCCTTAATCCGGATTAAGCCTTAATCCGGGTTCCATGATAGTTAATTGACACTGGACTAATCAGGGTTCAAAGACCCTTAGTCCAGTGTCAATGGAACTTAATCCGGTGTCAATGATCTTTAAATCGGTGTCAATGACAATTACATCGAATTAAGCCTGAATTTCCCTACCAAAAATTATTAAAATTCGCCCCCTTTTAGGGGTATTCCCCATATAACCCCCTTTTTGTACCCTTCACCATAGTATGGAGGGTCCACTTTTTCTGGTAGCCCCCATATAAGGGTACCCCCCATTTTTAGTTTTAGTTTCGGGGTCAAAGACCCTTAATCCGGATTAAGCTTTAATCCGGTATAAATGACCCTTAATCCGGATTAAACCTTAATCCGGGGTCAATGGCCCTTACTCCATATTAAGCCTTAATCAGGGTATAATGGTCATTAATCAGGATTAAGCCTTAATCCGGGTTTAATGGAATCCGGGGTCAGTGACCCTTAATCCGGGTTCTATGAATTTAAATTCATTTCTATAAAATGAAGTGTTCTTGTCAAATCCGGATTAAGGATTAATCCGGATTAAGGCTTAATCAGGGGTCAATGACCAATAAATCGAACTAAGTCTTAATCCGGGGTCAATGATCTTAATCCGGGATAAATTACTCTTAATCTGGATTAAACCTTAATCCGGGGTTACTGACCCTTAATCCATATTAAGCCTTAATTAGGGTTCAATGAACCTTAATCCGGACTAATCCTTAATCCGGATTTGACAAGAACACTTCATTAAATAGAAATGAATTTAAATTATATGTAATATGTTCATATTTCGAGTTATAACCTTGCAAACCTCAGCTTCAAGGAATTTAAAATATTTTTGTAATTTCCCA